CAATTCTTTCCAACAGGATCTTTCAAACAGTTTTCACACCATGGACGTCAGGGTGATACATCTGTAATTTGCAGGTACCGACCTGTCCTTATATTGGCCTCTATATATTGGAATATTTGTCAGATCTTAACAATGCAGGGGTGTAGCAAGTACGTTTCATCATGTTAAACAGCTGGGTTAAATGTTTAGGAGCAAATCTTCAGCGAAATAAATATGTTCATTTGTGATGCGGTCCGGTCCTGGCGATCTTCTCATTTTTAAGCTAGTATCAGTCGCTTCGGTTCGCATATTTCTAGATCCGTCTTAAATATAGGAAGTGGTATCTTTGAGATCTGCTCATTCCGCCTCAATACGAAAGTCGTTATCAAACTCCGGCCGGTCAAATGTGACAGTAAGTCTGCATAGTAGACTACCCACATGTTGGGCACTGAAGGTAACGTTCTTTGTACTCAAATTGTGTTTTTCTTCACGTGTTTTTTAAATCCTGTAGAATTCAGCAATATCCACATCACATCTTGAGGTTATTTCAACATATTTTTCATTTTTCCATTGTCTCTCAATCTGTCTTTTACAACGCCGAAAGTCACATTTAGCCAGTTTGTATAGGGTATACGAGTCGTTACCGGCACCCCGAGGCCTGCCTTCGGCTGACCACACCCTTCTCGCCTGACCACACTCTTCTCGCCTGGCGCATCTGGTAATGACAGAGGTCAAGGTTCGAATTGTTCCAGTAAGATTTCAGGTACGGCCTATAGTGTCCACGTGGTATACATCTTGCAGCAGACGTCCACAGTGGACCGACAATGGAATCATAATTCCTCTCTATCACATCAGCTTCTTTATTGCCAGTGTCAGGCACTGCATCACCAACCAATCTGAGAACCTCGGCTTGGTACATGCAAAGTTCCAGGTCACTAGCTTTTGACCATTTGTGTGGAGTAGACGTCACACCAGCTCCTATATTGCCAGTGTCAGGCACTACATCACCAACCAATCTGTGAACATCGGCTTGGTGCATACAAAGTTCCAGGTGTCTAGCTTTTGACCATTTGCGTGGAGTAGACGTCACACCAGCTTCACGTGCAGAGCTAGTGAGCTTGTCAAAATGTTGGGGAGTGATCAGACACATCCAATGTGACTGAGTTATATATACCTGTCTTCAACGTTGTAGATGTTTGGGTACAAATACATCGTCGATGATGGAGGATTTTTTTTATCTCTTGTTTCTCCATGTCATCAGTTTTGCTGCCATGGGAAGATACCATATTTACTTAGCGTAGGTGTGATCGATGCGAGCTTTGCTTGTAGATAATGTCTGTGTTAAAGTCGGCACACAAGATAGCATAACTGGTTTCAGAGAGTTCATCAACAATGTCGAATGTTTCCTCTGGCCGCTATGGTAGGAACACACGTCACATCTACTCCGTCACATTCAGAGGCATAATTCCGTATATCACTGAAGAAGTCCTTTTCCAAAAAAATGGCAGCTCCGCCCTCGCCTCTGAGTCGTCCCTGGTCTTCTATGATTTTTACCACAGTGTCATGTAACGAACTCGGGGCGTCGAAAAGTGTCTTTAGTTCCATTGTTCACCAAGTGTTCAGAAACAGTTAAGTCATCACATTCGTATCTCAAGGTACTGTCGACTGTACAATGTGCCTCTGGTGTTCCAAGTGCCAATGCTCCATATGAATTCGAAAAACCATAAGTGGAAAAGCTTTTTATGTAGATTCTTCCCTTTGGTACTGCCATTCTCACTATAAAATTAGCAATATCATATATCTAATAAGGAGAGCACTTTAAGCAGAAACACCTGTTATCTACATACACTTCCTTGCAATTGGTCCTTAGAGCATGTTACATAGTAAATTTGACTTGATAAGTAGAATAGCAGTCTTTGTGGTTTGTGTCTCGTATCAATGTACTTGTGTGTAACATGTACTTGTGCATAAAGAACGTGTGGTAAATGATTCAAAAATGGCACACAAGTCGTAGTTGGTTAACTAGAAAATCTGTAAAGTAGAGATTTTTTAAGGTCCCTCATTTTCTACTTATCAGGGTTAGTTTCACATCAATAACATGTTTATGGTTACCTATTTCCACCATCCCGCAGCGGGTAGGTCTCCCATTCACGATAGTTTAGATTCTTTGGGCCAACATGGTCATTTTTAAAAAAAACTGTATGTGCTGAGGCAATTTCAATGTTGATCCGAAGTGTATATGGTGAGTACGCACAGGTCCAGTAGTTCAAGAGTCTGACGACCCGTGAAGATCCGGGATAGAAGAAGGCTTCAGCAACTCATCCTTGCCGTAAAAGGCGACTATGCTTGTCGTAAGATGCGACTACAGGGATCGGATGGTCAGGCTCACTGACTTGGTTGATGCATGTCATCGTATCCCAATAGCATTGATCGATGCTCATGAAATTAATCACTGGATTGTCTGGTCCAGACTCGACTATTTACAGACACCGTCATGTAGCTGGAATGTTGCGTGGCGTTAAACAACAAACCAACCAACCAACCAAGAGTCTGTCAAGACTCACATCAACATCTGTTTTGATGTTCGACAGTACCAGTCTTTTTCTTTGAATCGAAGTGAAGCACCCTTGAAATCAGTCTCCCATTCACTGTAAAGCTTGGCATTCTTTGTGAATGAGGCATAACGTTTTGCGACGTCTATGGATGTTCTATCTATGGAGACCAATCTGTGAGTCTTTATACTTTATTTGATATGCTAAGATCCTGCTATCACTGCGTCATTTTAGTTCAGTGTTATGAAGTCTTTCTATTTCTCCAGTGGCATTTAGATGATCTTTAGTTTTCTCCTCCAATGATCGATTAATGGTTTTTATGTTTAAATCAAATTTATCACACAGGTGTTCAATTCTGCGATCAATAGACTGAGAAGGTTCCATTCAAAATCTTGCATTTCTAAAACCTTTGCAAACATGAGTGACCTGGTACCGTATTCTTCTGTGATTGTGTTCTTGTTGGCTAGAAACAGGATATATGTTAGTGTCCTCTGGGTTTTAAATCCTTTCTTATTGAAAACCTCTTTCAGAAGAGCATCAAGGTGGACTGATGCTGTTATAATCCCGTATAGGTAACAAACACATGAAGCATTTTTCTCTGCTGAACTATTTCTTGAGATTTCCCTTGGTACCCTCGTCATTAATAAGATGTCCACTAGGTACATTTTGACACCCTCGTTGGCTACATCATAAAGACCGTATCTCATGTTCACCTCGTTCGGCTTGTCTTCATCCCCTGGATATACATGTAACTCGACTCACTTTCGGATGAACCCTGTCAAGTTGTTCAAGTTTCTTGTGCGTCTCACAGAATAAATCGTTGCCTTTATCCTCCATTGTTTGTGTGTAAGGACAAGAATCTCCGTCGTCATTGCTGAGTGAGTGAGTGAGTTTGATTTTACGCCGCTTTTAGCAATATTCCAGCAATATCACTGCGGGGAACACCATAAATGGGCTTCACACATTGTACCCATGTCAGGAATCGAACACGGGTCTTCGGCATGACGAGCGAACGCTTTAACCACCAGGCTACCCGGCCGCCCAGTCATTGCTGAATTCGGATTCTAAATGAGGGAGTCATCATTTTAAAAATACGGATAATTAATTTTAAAGCTTGTACATTTTATCATCATCCTTAAAGAGGCTGTACATAATGTTGATATCTCATAAGAAATTAACGACTCGTGGCCGTTGTTTATCGTAAGATAAAACACTGCAGCATAAACGTCCGGATGTTCAGATTAAAGAATTATAGGTATGGAGTAATGGCACTTTGCATATATTTAGACGTTTCTAAACATATATGTCCGGAATTGACAGTGTCCCGAATAAAGGGGTCCGGACTAATTGGGCTTCACTTTGCAAGGAGGAACACTCACTTCCAGGGTTCAGTGTTTGAAAACTCAGTTACCAAGCTACAATATTACACCACAGACTGTCGCCTATGGCAATCCTAACACTTTTAACATCTGTCTCCGCGTCCACATACAGCCATCTGAAGCCATCGCGCAAGCCATCAATAAGACAACAATGTCACGGATTCAGACGTTTCCGCGATAATGACAATTTACTGGCGCTATGTTTAGATAACTGGCATTCATATACACTACATATGAGTGATGAAAACAGATGGTTTATGAGTCAAAACAAACACTATGCGAGTAAGAAGGAATGTTGTTTACATGGCCACAAAAAATGAACTGGAACTGGTTACGCAGCTAATTTGAGGGAGGAGATTTCAGCAGTTATGTTAGCGATATGTTCCACACCGCTCTACGTGAAGTCTAATTGGTTTGGGAAGTGAAACGCCGTAAGCCAAGCACGTACCGCTAGGATTACATGTAAGTCGGGGAAATTGGTCCTGAGACGCACAAAGTCATCGGGAGATGAGCGAAATACTTTATAACTAGTTCTAATTAGTATAATCACATTAAAACATATATTTGAAGCTGACTCGTGATTTCCTCATTAGCTTATTATTGTAAAACAGCTTACAGGAATGAGGCGTACAGTACTGTTCAAAACAAACTCTCACGACTCGGGACCCGTGAAAATCCGGGTTGGAATAGGTCTTCAGCAACCCATGCTTGCCGTAATAGGCGACTATTCTTGTAACAGACGGGATTATGGGGATAGTGTTGTCAGGGTCGCTGACGTGTGTCATCGTAATTTTAATCACCTTGATCGATGCTTATGACGTCAGTCACTGGATTGTGTGGTCCACACTTAATTATTTACAGACCGCCGTCATGTAGCTGGAATATTGCTGAGTGCAACGTTAACCAACAAACAATAAATCAACCTCTCGATGAGGTGGCGCGATGCTTACGGTCGCGATCGATGGAACGTTTGTTTTGAACAGTTGTGTATGCAGCGTGGTACAGGTACATGGTACATGGTACATTAAACAGAACGTTCATTCTGGCCATGACCAATTACAGACACATGACGTAGGACCTTGACCTTTACCTTTAACGTAGAGATGTGCAGGGTAGGAGAACACCACGCCAAGGTCATTCTGGGCAGAGCACTCGTACTTCCCTTCGTCCGATAACTTCACACGTACTATGATGAGTTGTGCTGGGGAAGAAAACATGGCGTGAATATAAATACTGGTTAGATTGACACTAGTGTTGTTGTGAAGTGTTGGCAAAAACACCTACCAATGATATCCCACTCATGTATGCAATTGTTGTTACTGTTAATCCTCTACTGTTAATCCTCCACCTACTGTATATACATGTGTATTCTGTACTATGTCCCTCATTCGTAAAACAAGAATTGCAGTTAGATCCGCTATCTGTCATAGATCTCCTAAAGCCAAGAGATCTAATAGCGAAGGCCAAACTAACTCTATTTCTGAGAGATGGACAGCTGCTCGAACGTATATAAACAGAGCAGCCAAGGATAAAAATGAAATAATATCATTATAAGAAAACAGAAATCATATCAATACAAAAACAGAAATTATGTGAACACCAAACTCACAATAGATATGTGTACCCTTCTCACACACAGAAGTCCCAAAGAGGGACAGGTCAGCCGAAATTGCTCAGGCAGAAGGCGACCTCTTAAACACTTAATGCAACAACAACAACCCTCATTCAGTCTTGCTTGACAACGGTATAAGGACCTATACCGAAACGTCGCTCTTCACAGTATTAAAGAAGTTGTTATCCATAAAGTTGTGTCTACCTTGTGTCTACCGTGAAATGTTGGGATTAGCAAAACATAATCTTGTCAACTTACGCGGTTACCGCACGTTGCAATACACGAGTAAACGCTGTGTAATCAATGGTTAACTATGAAAACATTCCCATTGTTAATAACGTTGCGGTTCACAAACGTACGTCGACAACGTTATGGCACAGATAACTACAAAGATCCTCACAGCGGGTTATCTACACTATTGCTGCCACCAGTCACAGATCCCTGTTGTGCTGGGCGGCCACAACCATGCATGGAGTTCAACTCCCAAGGGGCGGCCGGGTAGCCTAGTGGTTAAAGTGTTCGCTCGTCACGCCAAAGACCCGGGTTCGATTCCCGAAATGGGTACAATCTGTGAAGCTCATTTCTGGTGTCCCCCGCCGTGATATTGCAGGAATGTGGCTAAAAGCGGTGTACAATTATACTCACTCAACTCCCAACTGAAAGTGATAACGATCTTTGACGCCTAGTACCCTTCCCCAGCTAAATTCTTTTCTATATTTGCCTATTTTAAATTCTAGTCCATTCCATCTATCATGTGAAGGGTACATTGTGAAAGCAAGATGGAAGCTAGGTACTTATCCGTTAAGACCGCCCCCGTGGTCTAGTGGTAGAGCGTCCGCCCGGAGAGCGGAAGGTCCGGGCCTTGATACCCGACCGCGTCATACCAAAAGACGTTAAAAGATGGTACTTGTTGTTACCCTGTCGGGCGCTCGGCATTAAGGGGCTAAAACAAGGACTGGTCGGCTCGGAGTCAGTATACTGTGTCTGAGTGGGGTATTCATGTTAAACTGCGGCATGGTATCTCCGTGAGCTAGCACTATAAATTGGCATCAGTCCGGACTAGTACAAGCAGCCACACAAACACACACGTACATGCACGTCGCTATATAAGTGCAATAATCTTGGACGCGACGTTAAACCCCATTTCACCTCACCTCACACCTTATCCGTTAATCAATCTCGAACCAATCTGATTAAACAAACAAATTTAGCGGTAAACGTTTTCCCAATGGCATACCTAAAAGACGTACACACACATATAAATTTCAAGGCAAATTTTCAGGATTCAGTGGCAGCGATGATACAGGGAAGGTCATAATGGTGTCACGCACTGGGATGGAGATTGATACAGTGACCCATGCCTGTATCTTATACCTGCAGCATCCGTCCCGTCGAGGGACTGTTATACGGTAGTACGTTGACTATATGCAGCGGCGACACGGGTGTCAAGTATTCTAAGGAACCGCAATGAGATGCGTCCCTTCGACAAGCCAGAAACCTATGATTGTGGGTTCGAATCCCGGTTCGCTCGATATTATCCAATATTATCCCAGACGTCATTAGATGTTAGATAGAAACACGGTAACTAGTACTTCATCCTGTCATAGCCTTACGCTCTGCCAATTATACTACAGACATCTGTCCTTTTTTTCTGCTGAAATTAAACATCATTACAGTCCATTGATGGGTATATGTACAGTCACTGTCCAGTCTATCTCACTGATGCCGGAACACGGTTGGTCCATGTATCTCATACCCGCTGTAACTCAGTGTACAGACTTCTTTGCGAGGCATGTAGAAGTAAGCATACTAAGTAAGGATGAGTGAGTGAGTGAGTGAGTATGGTTGTACGCCGCTTTTAGCAATATTCCAGCAATATCACGGCGGGGGACACCAGAAATGGGCTTCACACATTGTACCCATGTCAGGAATCGAACCCGGGTCTTCGGCGTGACGAGCCAACGCTTTAACCACCAGGCTACCCCAAAGTAAGGATGATAAATATTCATGAGAAACACTTTTAGTATATTTAGGAACGACAACTCGGTGTGAAACATCGCTTTTAATTGTAATGAAGAAGTTCTTCATCTATATATCTTTTTACCCTTACTCAGTGTAAAGAGTTTCTTTCCTTAGCTGCCAGCATCCGCTTGTCGTGGGGTAGAATCTTAGCCTCGCACCAGTTATAATGCATAGTCTGTCAGTAACTTGCCATGCTCTTTTGAGTTACAGCAGGGATACCTGCGCCCCCATGGGGAAATGGGGGACGTCACGTGGTCAACTCACTCACTCACCATTGGCTCCTAACGCGACCCTGTTGTCCTTGGAGTAGTACACGGGGAAGGAGTCCTTGAACCAGCGCGTGATGATGTCGGGGGTCCCCTCGGACGTGCAGTTCATGATGACCTCCGCCCCTTCTTCCACAAAGTTGAGTACCGGGTGTTGGGATATAACGGGATACCCGGGAATGTTGTCTGTAACACAACGACACAAGCCAGTGCATTGATTAACACAAGCTGTGCATTATAGTAACGACACCAGCCATTGCATCAATCAGTTTTATAGTACATTATAGATTTATTTGATGTTTGTTTGTTTGTTTTATAACGCCGCACTCAGCAATATCCCAGCTATATGACGGCGGTCTGTAAATAATCGAGTCTGGACCAGGCAATCCAGTAAAAAATATCATGAGCATCGATCCACGCAATTGGGACATGATGAGATGCATCAACCAAGTCAGCGGCGTGACCACCCGATCCCGTTAGTCGCCTCTTTCGACAAGCAAACTCGCTTTTTACGGCAAGCATGGGTTGCTGAAGACCTATTCTACCCGGTTCTTCGCGGGTCTTAACATTATAGTAACGACAAAAACCATTGCACTGATCAACACAAGCTGTGCATCATAGTAACGACACAGGCCATTGCATCTATCAACACAAGTTGTGCATTATAGTAACGACACAGCCCTTTTCATTGATCAACACAAGTTGTACATTATAGTAACGACACAGGTCATTGCATCAATTAACACAAGTTGTGCATTATAGTAACGACACAAGCCATTGCATCGATCAACACAAGTTACACATTACATAATAAATACATAATATGTGAGTGAGTTCGGTTTAACGCCGCTTTTAACAATATTCCAGTTATATCGCGGGTGGCCCAGTCGTCTGAGGCGCCGCGATTCGCTGAGCAGAGTTGTGTCCCTTGGAGACGCCAGAAGCCTATGATTGTGGGTTCGATTCCCGGTTCGCCCCGATTATGTTTCTAGGTTTGTCAGCACCATACCCGTGCTCGTGGGTTTCACCGAAGTTGTAAACGTCTAAGACCTGCATCACTTCGGGCTTTCCTCCCACATTAAGCTGACACGCCGTGATATAACTGGAATACTGTTAAAAGCGGCGTTAAACCCAACTCACTCACTCACTCACACAGTTCATGGTGATAGTTGTTGCTGTATGACTAATGCTATTTCTCTCATACAGGAAGCATACAATGAGAGTATATCGAATTACTACGATAGAACCTTAACGTTTCTAAAAACAATGATATTAAAAAAATATTCCATTTATACTGCTACAAATATATTTTATCCACCCAAACCCACCCATACATAGTCTCCTATATCCCCACTAAACTCTAAAGTCAACCATAGAAAGCTCCCCTTCAAATCAGCTACGATGGATTTCAGGGTAGGCATACGGGTCTTGCTCACATTTAAAACCTAAACACGTTTAGCTGTTAAACACAATCCTAAACATGTCATACTTATGGGACAAAGACGTGTTGAGTTTTGAGTTTGGGATCTAAACACATTTTTCACAATGAATCTTCTCACCAAGCCTCTACTCAACGCAGACATTGTGATCCAGGGACGGTCGGGTAGCCTAGTGGTTAAAGCGTTCGCTCGTCACGCCGAAGACCCGGGTTTATTCCCGACATGGGTATAATGTGTGAAGCCCATTTCCGTTGTCCCCCGCCGTGATATTGCTGGAATATGCTAAAAGCGGCGTAAAACCACACTCACTCACTCACTCACTCACTCACTCACTCACTCACTCACTCACTCACTCACTCACTCACTCACTCACTCACTCACTCACTCACTCACTCACTCAATGTGACCCAGTCTACCTTTAGCTCTGTATGTCTTGATAGTCGCCCTCGCCCGCACAATTTCTCCAAAGCCGTTTGAAGCAATGCAGGTATACGTCCCTCGGTCCTGCCGGGACACTACAGGGTCGATCCGCAGGATAGATACCCCGTCACTGGAATCCTCATAGATTCGCCTGTTTCTGTCGTCAAACAATCGGCCAGACTTACGCCATGTAACTTTCGGTGTCGGGTACCCGTCCGCCCGACAGACCAAAATAAGGATACCTTCGTCCTTCACCTTGGAGTCACGTGGCGGAATAACCATGCGCAGAAAAGCTACAATGAAGATATTGACCTACTTTAACAGTGAGTTTACCTCAGAAATATATTCAAATAGTGTTACATTTACAAATAAAACAAAAATTACTTCCTTTTTTAGATATATTTGTTTACTGATTCTGGTGATAGTGAATGGAATGTTAATAATATGTTCAATACTTAGCTGTTGTGTCTTCTGTCCGCTCCTTCCCCATGATAATGAAACAATCAAAGCAGCTGGCTACGAAAAATGTGCACGTGCAGAAAGAAAAGGTCGCATCTACCCGGAGCTGTATATCAACAAACATCTGCCGTTACATGCATGAACCACACAGACATGCAGGGCATATATGTACTACTCACAAAAAGTTAAGGACCACTTGATTATGTCACATCACTATAGTTATCCCATGCCATGACAGATTAACTATAGTAATATAAAAGAATCGGATGATCCTTAACTATTTCTGAATAGCATATGTACTACCAGGAAGCCCTCAAAGAAGCAACCAAGATCTGTATCGTGCATATAATGCAATGGGATAACACAGGAGGTGGAAGAAAAGGTGTTTCGTTTAGTTTTACATTCAATTTGTGTTTAACATTCAGTTTAACACTTAGTGTAGCATTTTGTTTAACAGTTAGTTAAACAGTAAGTTTAACATATCGTTTAACAGTTTGTTTAACAGTTAGTTTAACATTTAGTTTAACATTTTGTTTAACAGTTAGTTAAACAGTAAGTTTAACATATAGTTTAACAGTTTGTTTAACAGTTAGTTTAACATTTAGTTGAACATTTAGTTTAACAGATAGTTTAACAGTTAGTTTAACAGTTAGTTTAACAGTTAGTTTAACATTTCGTTTAACAGTTAGTTCAACATTTAGTTAAACAGTAAGTTTTACATTTGGTTTAACAGTTTGTTTAACAGTTAGTTTAACATTTAGTTTAACACATAGTTTAACAGTTAGTTTAACAGTCAGTTTAACAGTTAGTTTAACATTTAGTTTAACAGTTAGTTTAACATTTAGTTTAACAGTTAGTTTACCATTTAGTTTACCATTTAGTTAAACTAAACATTTATTTTAACATTTAGTTTACCATTGAGTTTGAAATTTAGTTTAACATTCAGTTTAACAATTTGTTAACAGTTCGCTTAACAGTTAGTTTACCATTTTAATTAACATTACTGATTCGTACATAATGTGATTCTCCATCATGAAATGGATAAGAAATATCGCGATAACAGCCGGCTTGTGTTATAGATATAGTGATAAGTCTTGCTCCGGGCACCTGTGGGTAACAGTATCGTGTCTGTATCCGTCCTGGGAGTAGAGGGTCGTGTTATTACAAGGGTGGGATCAGCGATATGAAGATATCGATGGAATACGTTTCTTGGCCTTGGTGGAACACCAGTATTGATTTCCACCAGATAGCACGAAACAGGCTCCAGGTAACTCGGTGTACAGCCAATATAATAGACGAATACATCAAGCCACGTGTTCTATCTTCGGACAGCCATCAACATGGCATTAAAAACTCAGATACTGGGGTGTTGTGTTTAACTCCTGGGGGTTTCTTGGGCATCAGTCCAGCCCCGCACTAAATCACAGGTTATTATATAAAAACGCCTGAGTGTCATCTCAGACAAGTGATTTTGTTCGAAATATGTCTCTGTGCACCTAGTAATAACTAGGGACTCGGTTGGGTGAAACGATCATTTGAATGAAAAACCTTCTAGACGTTAAAAGGCAGCTGGGATGTATGATCACAGTGGATCTGGGATCTTAACTTAAGCGCACACCGATCCATTGAGCTGGGTAAGAATCGTGCAGCCCTTTTAGCCCGCCTGTAGGCAGGGATACGGTGCAATATAAACTTGCATTTATTTTTTATTGCTGCTGTAGCAGTATTACAACTTCTACGACCCAGACTTGGACAAGACCCACAAAACGGTTATGATATGAAGATATTTTAAACGTCTCTGCTTATCTGTTCTGTGGAGGAAATTAAAATATAATAATAGTTTTGGGCAAGAATCCTGACCAGACAATACTCAAAAATTACCAACAGTATTATTTATTTATTAATCTTATTTAATGAGGATCAAATCCATTGTGAATAGTTAAACCAAAACCCAGCGTACAATGTACATTTTAAATCAATCATATCCTTGTACACATGTTGTAAAGATGTATTTTCTACTTTTAACTAAACAATTATGGTCTTATTAATTACATTACAGGGATGAATATTGGCAACCATAATTACTGAACTCGGAAGTTGTTTTGATAGCAGTGAATGCAAGTGCACTGAAGACTATACAAGATGCTACCTCTCAGAAAGTTCGTAATACTACGATATTCACTGTAATCCGTGCAGGGTCAACTTGTTCCGCAAGTTCGGGTACCATAAAGGCCGTTTTTGAAGAACTACCTTCTAAAGAAAATATGGCAAATAAAATATGCCAATCACAAAAGTTATACAAAAAATTCATGTTATTATTTGCTTCGCAGAAATATGTATACTCTGAGATTTAAAGAAATATACGCATAAATACTTTCAACATTTATTAGTTCCTAGCCACGGCTAGCTTTGAGGTTCCATGTGATGTCGAAGGTTTGACACGATCCGGGGGACTTCCGAATGTGTCATGTTTAAGATACAATATGTATATACAGTTGGACTAATAATTGTATCCGGACCTCTCGTTACTAAACGATGCTACTCTCTATGCGAGTGCACGAGTGCGAGTAGGTGTGTTCTGCATTATCATATTACGACGAGGGTTTCAACAGTGCAACTGAATAATGATATAAACAATCAAAGCAAATAATATTCATAATTATCCCAGTAATGGGACTATGACAAGCTAAGAAAAAATGCAAACAGAAAAAATAACTATCTAAGCCACAACAAATGGAATGATTGTTCGTAAAAAGCCATATTTGGTCATACAAGCTGACCAGCCAACTTCAAATGTCTTGAGCAAACCTTTGTTAGATACCAACTTTGGCATTGTATTTACGATACATACATCAAACGGTAGAAATGTTATTTTCTTTTATTTACATGACGAAATTTTTATTTCTTTTGACCTCAAATTCCCCACGAGCAAATATTCAATTTGTTGTGGCCTAAAGGCTATTTTCTAGTTTGTAACACAGCCTCCAATTGAACAATGGGTGATCTTGTGAAATAAATGTCGGACATCTGAGGTGAAATGGGATTTTACGTCACGTTCAAGATTATTGCACTTATATAGCGACGAGCATGCACGCGTGTGGATGCTTGTGCTAGTCCAGACTGATGCCGATTTATAGTGCTAGCCCACTGAGATACCATGCTGCAGTTTAACACGAATACCACACTCAGACACAGTATACTGATGCCGAGCCGACCAGTCCTTATTTTGGCCAGACAGGGTAACAACATGTACCATCTTTCAACGTCTTTTCCTGTGACGCGGCCGGGGATCGAACCCCAGACCTTCCGCTCTCCGGCAGAGGCTCTGCCACTAGACCCCGGAGGCGGTCTTCGGGCACCTGAAGTAGTGCTAAGTATATACCTACACTCACAGCACTCTGATGAACCTTTCAGTTCTAGTTCCATTGTGGATTTACTGAGTCTTACACGGCATCATGATTGTGGTATTAATAGAATCATCTTAATGCCCTATAGATACACTTAACTTACTTATACTTAGCCTTACCAAAAACCTTCCGATGGAAAAAGTTTTTCTTACAAAGGAGAATATACTTTATATGCGAGGAATTACTTGACTTAACAACACACACCCTGACGGGTTGTACTACAACCATATCTGTATCGGAGGAATTAGCATCGTTCTATTTTCGAGTTTCGAGATTCAATGTTAAATGCATGGAATAATACGCAGAAGATTGGCCAACATTATAAGGACGATGAATGGTTACCGGATATTTAACGATAAGAGCAGAAACTGATAAGGCTAACAAAAGTATTATCTCCATAGAATGTCTGATATTCCTAAGCTATTCAATGTTCCACTAGCAGGTCACCTGGATCAACATTCACTTTGTTTCCATTCTGAACACGCTGAAAGCATTCCAAGAGTGTTGTAACTGACGATGCTCTCCCTTGACAACCATAATGTTCATATATTCTAAACTCCTCTTCAGTTTCTGAGTTAATCGTCTGTGGCTCGGAGGAACCACCATCTTGCAAGTTTCTTTACAAATGTAAGAACGATATTAGGTAACTATTACATTGTAACTTGAAGATGCTGTCCCTTGACAACCAAAATGCTCATATGTTCCAAACTTCTCTTCAGTTTCTGAGTTAATCGTCTGTGGCTCAGAGGAACCACCATCTTGCAAGTTTCTTTACAAATGTAAGAGTGATATGAGGGAACATTGTACATTGTAACTTGAAGAAGTTGTCCCTTGACAACCATAATGCTCATATATTCCAAACTCCTCTCCATTTTCTGAGTTAATCGTGTGTGGCTCAGAGGAACCACCATCTTGCAAGTTTCTTTACATATGTAAGAATGATATGAGGGAACATTGTACATCGTAACTTGAAGATGCTGTCTCTTGACAACCTACTTGAGGATCATAAATACCAAACTCCTCTTCATTTTCTGACTTAATCGTGTGTGGTTCGGAGGAAAGATCATCTTGTTTCTTTAGATATGTCAGAACGATATTAGGTAACGATTACATTGTAAGTAATAGTAAACATTTTTCTTATCCATGACAAAAAATTATTTAAACCTTCTCAGCTATTTATTTCACAGCTTGAGTATTAGTTTATCCCTGCGTGGAATTTAACCATACTTACGTGTTTTCTCGTCCCCGACGTAGACGGACTGTTTGCTGGACCCCTCTCCGTCTAAGGAGATGGAGGCTACCTCCACCTTATAGCGAGACGACCCTTTTATATCCCTGAGAACGGTCTGGAAGTCTCTGAACACTGGCTTCACTTTATACTCCGTGAGTGACCTGTCCTTACTGTCCACCTCGGTGTAGATGACCAGATACCCCAACACTCGGCCATCTGGCTCAGGGGACCACGCGACCTTCACAGAGTCATCGTCCAACGTCACCGCCGTCACGTTGCTAGGTGCCCTTTGACCTATAGGTGAAAAGTGTCCGTATCATTAGTTGGTATGGCAGAGTGAGTATTGTTTAGCGCCGCTTTAAACAATACGTCAGTTATATCACGGCCTAGTAGGTTAGTAAAAGAGAACCCTCGAACACGGATGTGGTGCTGACGGACTGGCTCTCAAGTAGGACTATCTGTGATTAGAATTGAACCCACGGCCATCGGATCCTGCCACGGGTAAAGGACGTAACCTTTCACAGAAGTTGTGATGGGGTAAGGCACAATTTTTCTTAATGCTGAACAAATCTGAAGCCTACTTTCTAAAATACCACAAGTTTGATTCCCAAATTGGATACAATGTTTAAAAGCCGTGATATTGCTGGAATATTACTCTAGCGACTGAAAACAGTATTCCATCACTCAATGTAATAAGAGGAGAAGAACATTATCTTTTGTTCGTCTGCGGAATTTGCTTCGCCGTTTTCTGTATGTATATACTGGTAAACGAGGGTATGGCTGAAACGTTCTGAGCCTAACTATGATAGACTGCGTTTTTCGAGTCGATTGCAAATTATTTTTCAATATAATCCGCTCCCAGGCCCACACACTTCTGCTAACGATGCTGGAGTGCCTGGATCTCACTGGTCCACACACTTCTGCCAACGATGCTAGAGCGCCTGGATATCACTGGTCCACACACTTCTGCCAACGATGCTAGAGCGCATGGATCTCACTGGTCCACACACTTCTGCCAACGATGCTGGAAGGCCCGGATCTCACTGGTCCACACACTTCTGCCAACGATGCTAGAGCGCCTGGATCTCACTGGTCCACACACTTCTGCCAACGATGCTGGAGTGCCTGGATCTCACTGGTCCACACACCTCTGCCAACGATGCCGGAGTGCCTGGATCTCACTGGTCCACACACCTCTGCCAACGATACTGGAGTGCTGTGGATCTTAATGGTCCACACACCTCTGCCAACGATGCCGGAGTGCCTGGATCTCACTGGTCCACACACCACTGCCAACGGTGCTGGAGTGCCTGGATCTCACTGGTCCACACACTTCTGCCAACGATGCTAGAGCGCCTGGATCTCACTGATCCACACACCTCTGCCAACAATGCTAGAGCGCCTGGATCTCACTGGTCCACGCACCCCTGGCAACGATGCTAGAGTCCCTGGATCTCACTGGTCCACGCACCTCTGCTAACAATGAGCGGCTGGATCTTACTGGTCCACACACCTCTGCCAACGATGCTGGAGTCCCTGGATCTCACTGGTCCACACACCTCTGCCACAATGAGCGGCTGGATCTTACTGGTCCACACACCCCTGCCAACGATGAGCGGCTGGATCTTACTGGCCCACACACTACTGCCAACGATGCTGGAGCGCCTGGACTTCACTGGTCCACACACCTCTGACAACGATGCTGGAGTGTTTGGATCTCACTGGTGTAGAAGGCTTCATCCTGGTGGTGTAAAAATCCCTCCACAGCATAATGCCTCTGCCAACAATGAGCGGCTGGATCTTACTGGTCCACACACCTCTGCCAACGATGCTGGAGTGTCTGGATCTCACTGGTCAACACACCTCTGCCAACAGTGAGCGGCTGGATCTTACTGGTCCACACACTTCTGCCAACGATGCTGGAGTGTCTGGATCTCACTGGTCAACACACCTCTGCCAACAATGAGCGGCTGGATCTTACTGGTCCACACACTTCTGCCAACGATGCTGGAGTGTCTGGATCTCACTGGTCAACACACCTCTGCCAACAATGAGCGGCTGGATCTTACTGGCCCACACACCTCTGCCAACGATGCTGGAGTGTCTGGATCTCACTGGTCCACACACCTCTGACAACGATGCTGGAGTGCCTGGATCTCACTGGTACACACACCTCTGACAACGATGCTGGAATGTTTGGATCTCACTGGTGAAGAAGGCTTCATCCTGGTGGTGTAAAAATCCCTCCACAACGTAATGCCTGTCAGACAATGTTTTCTTTAAATTTGAGAAGAAGTACATCTGACGGTGCCATATCTGATGAATACGGAAGATGTTTCAAGTTCAAAGCCACCGTCATGCATTACAGCAATGAAGACAAGAAACTTGTACACAGGTGGATTGTTCTGGTGGAACATCACAACCAGTTTTCCACGTTGTTTACCCTTGATATTCTTAAACTGTTGCCTGAGCAGATTGGCATAATATTGGCCATTGATCTTTCAGAAGGTTGTCCATTCATATGATTCTTTTGGAACCCAGAAAACAGAAGACATAACCTTGCAAACTAAAAAAAACAGACTTTTCCTATTTCTACTGCCTTGACCGTTGTTTAGCCTCTGGCTGCTACTAGTGAACCCAGGACTCATCCAAATCACTTCCGAATAGCTCAGCAAAACGGGTCAGCTTCAAAAGGACGTACATTCTGACGGGAGGTGATGAGCCTGGGATATTTCTGATAAGGAGACAGAAGTCTTGGAACAAAGCGTCCTGGATCCTTTGTCATGCCCAGTTCATTCTTCAGAATGTTCCCAACTCTCTCTTGAAAGGTGCCTACTGTATTCGTTATGTGACTTGTGGGGACCATCCATAATCATATCATGCATTGTTTCAATATGTTCCGTAGGGGTGGCAGCTGAAGGTCTTCCTGTTCTTGGATCACCTTCGAGGTTTTCTCGTCCCCTTTTGAACTCCACTTTCCACCTCTTAACAGTGTCAGGGGAAGGAACATCTTCTCCTAAAGTTAACACCAACGTCCGCATGGAAGGCTGTTGGACTCTTTTCAGTTGGAAATACTTGACGACAGCCTTGTTGCCAGATTTGTCCATTTTCATCAACAGAGAATACCTGGACACTTTGCTGCCTGGTTGGGTATATGGTTCAAATGCAGCCTCTACGTATAGACTACTGAATGTAATACATCAAAAGGGTTCACTTTCATCCTTCGTAAATATTCTCAGAACATTTAAGCCAGCCCCCGTATGTATCGCGTACAGATAGACATGCACGCACAGTACGAAATGAGAGGCGAAATAGACCATATACCGTAATCTACTGACTACATTATTCTATATGCGTGGTATATCCAGGTTGAGAATGCTACCAGTGGGAGAATGTTGTACATACATGTACTTAAGTTAAAATCGCTTTAAATCATTTATTCTGCATCTAATTTGGGTAAGGTTTTGCCTTCTTAGTGTTTGCTGTTTTATACATAACAGAGATGTTCTACTTTGGGTATTGATGTTTGAACGTACTCTAAAAGAGTATTGTCGAGTTCTGTTTACTACTAAAGAATGTGCAGCAGACCCCGTAATGCGTGTTTGTTTTCTACATTTGATCAGCGTGTGCTGGTGTACTTGCTGTAAGGAGTAATATATGTATTTTATGTGGGTGTCATTACGGTATGATACGGTTTCTGTATGGTAACTTATTGTGAGGCTGTATGGTTGTGTCGTGATATGTTCTACTCACTGTATGGTGGTGTTCTGATGTGTTCTACTCACTTTATGGAGGTGTTCTGATGTGTTCTACTCACTATATGGTGGTGTTCTGATATGTTCTACTCACTGTATGGTGGTGTTCTGATGTGTTCTACTCACTGTATGGAGGTGTTCTGATGTGTTCTACTCACTATATGGTGGTGTTCTGATATGTTCTACTCACTGTATGGTGGTGTTCTGATGTGTTCTACTCACTGTAGGGTGGTGTTGTGATATGTTCTACTCACTGTATGGTGGTGTTCTGATGTGTTCTACTCACCGTATGGGGGTGTTTTGATGTGTTCTACTCACTGTATGGAGGTGTTCTGATATGTTCTACTCACTGTATGGAGGTGCTGTGATATGTTCTACTCACTGTATGAAGGTGTTCTGATGTGTTCTACTCACTATATGTTGGTGTTCTGATATTTTCTACTCACTGTATGGAGTTGTTCTGATGTGTTCTACTCACTGTAGGGTGGTGTTGTGATATGTTCTACTCACTGTATGGTGGTGTTTTGATGTGTTCTACTCACTGTATGTTGGTGTTCTGATGTGTTCTACTCACTGTATGTTGGTGTTCTGATGTGTTCTACTCACTGTATGGTGGTGTTCTGATGTGTTCTACTCACTATATGGTGGTGTTCTGATGTGTTCTACTCACTGTATGGTGGCGTTCTGATGTGTTCTACTCACTATATGTTGGTGTTCTGATGTGTTCTACTTACTGTATGGTGGTGTTCTGATAGGTTCTACTCACTGTATGGGGGTGTTCTTATATGTGTATAGGCGTGCAACATGCTGTAGCTTCTCATCTGCCTGCCCTCAAGCCGGAAGTAGTACAGCGAGCTAGTGTTGAGCTCGGTAACAGGGAAGTACTGGCGCGTGGGGTTGAACCTGAATGTCGACCACGCTGCCGTCCCATCTTGTCTGTAGGAGAAGTCGAGGTTGGCGAGGTTGACCTCCCCGACGTCGTACCTGGACACAAGCACCTGTGTGTCCGACAGTGCACGAGCGTTGAGGCTGATGTAACCTAGGAACAGAGGTACAGAATAATAGCTTGGCAGACGAGATAACGTATAGCTATAAATCATATATAAATACATTTTCCCGAGGCAAGGGATTAAACTAAGTCCAGTGTCCATCCTTGCCGAACTACGCTCGAATTTCAGGGCTCGATCGTAGTGCCACCACTATTATGAGTTGAGTCTCTTCTATGTCCCTCATACTGACAAATCAGATACCACCTCTCATATAACTTGCATTAGCTTCAAACAAAATGGCGGCGCCCAGTCAAGACGATCTGATCGATAATCAATATCCATATTGTGATAAAACGAGTCTTACTTCGCAAAGTGCATCAAATCACGTGAGCACTTTGATTGAAAACATGTAAAGATTTGAAAATATCTGTTGACATTGAGTTGGCGGTATACATGCTGCGCAAAACTTGCTATCGACCGATCTTCATGGCAGTTTACGAACCGGATGTAGATTTCGTTACGCCATTTTGATTGGACTATGCATAGACTCGTTAGTTCAACTAAAATATAATTCCATAATTGCAGCCTAGTTCGTCAAGGGTGGAAACTGGATTTTTTATATATCAGTTAACTCCCTAGCCTCGGGAAGATGATAGAAATACAGAGTTACCGTGTTTCATATCAATGCATAGCAGTACAATGAGATGATCATATACATAATATCAATATAGAAAAACACAGCATATACAATACTGATAGCGCTGCACACGTAGCGAATTGACGTACACAGCAAAACGCCACTTTGGAAATAACCCTTCTGTGATTTGACATTTGAGGTTGTCTAACTTCACATTGAATACTTTTATTTCAATTTGGAACCGTGCGCTTTAGCCCGATGTTACAAATGTACAAATAAGAGGTACCTAATCTACAATTAAACCACCTCAAATTTCAAACCACAGGTTTATCTCCATTCTACCATGACGTCATGAGCGGTTGGAAAATGGTGCACTCTTTGAATGCGTACTTACACGTGGGTAAATAGGCCAGCCATCTTAGAAGGTGCCGAGTGAGTATGGTTTTGCGCCGCTTTTAGCTATATTCCAGCAATATCACGGCGGGGGACACCAGAAATGGGCTTCACACATTGTACCCATGTCGGGAATCGAACCCGGGTCTTCGGCGTGACGAGCGAACACTTCAACCACTAGGCTACCCGACCGCGCCTTAGAAGGTGCCGGCAAGGTGTAACAGATAGTGACCAACATAAAACATTTCATTCAAATTAAAAAATAATGACTTATGTTCTTGACTATTTTCAATTAACGGTTAGAAAATACATATTTTTTCAAAATGAATTGATCTAATAACTCTCCATATTAATATAATTTTTTATTTAAATTTCATTGCAACATGTTGCATAGTTGCACCTCGACCAATCAACGCAACAAGCCTTTTCTTGAAAATCAGGATGATAAATAATTTCCTTGAAATCAACATGGCTTCTGTTGGGGTGACAGGTTTTAGAAAAATATATTTTATTTTATTTTTCCAACAAACTTTATTATATAAATGAATTTTAGTTATTTTGAAGTTGTACCTATGTACCAGTTGGTTTTAAATAACTCCCTCAACAGTAATACATATTTAAGAATGACAATCTCTCTACCCTCAACTTCGACCTGGCTAAACTTGACCTATTTCCCTTACTCTTCGCTGTCTATTGGTATATAAACTATAGAGGACAATCCCGATCTGATGTAATGTTCAACATTAACTCGTTGATTTAATGGTAAAATGAACCTACTGGCACAACCATTGCCAACGGAAACACCCTGAAGTATGTCTGAATACCGCCGTATTTAGCTGAAGACGTGCTGCCCGTACGCGCGACATGAGAAACACCTTTTTGTGACACAGTGGATAGTGGATTGTTTCAGTTAATTGTACGTGTTCTGAAACAGATTGGATTTTGTTTGATAAACTGTTGACCAAGCGCTTGCTCAGTGTACAAGTAAGTGAGAAAAAATATTAATAGTAGTAATATTCTATCGAATGTATGCAATTCTAATGGGTCTCATCTGCTGCCATTAGTATATGCATCGAAGCCCGTTAGCTATCGATAGATCGATCGAATTACATACCTGATTTAAATTTCATTTTTACCAATCAGAATCAAGCATTATTCAGTGTTATGGTAGAGTCGTACATAATATGGAGAAATCACGTGTCCCTTCTTCAGAAATCTACAATTTATATGTTTCTTGAGTGTAGGAGAAATCTATTGGGACATCACTGACAAATGTCTGAAACATTTTTTTTAATTATTTTTTTTTTTATTGTGAGTGCCTCTTGCAGAAAAGATCAGTTATCTAGTACGCTTGACCAGTGTATGGCAAAGAGATACAAAGACAGAAACAGAGTGAGTATCCTCAAGTAATCTTCACGGGTACGCTGTTGGTAATGACAGCAAGATGCCACTGACATCACATAGATACCATGTTTGCAAGGATTCCTTCAGTAATTATGGTAAACTAATTACATAAAAAATAATCTAACCAAACATATCACCATACCAACCAATCACCATACCAACCAATTGATTGGCTTCAATTTTTATATGGAACCTAGCTTGTAGGTTGTTGCTATAAGAAGTATTTTTTCAATAATATATCTTTTCCAAAGATACTGCTGAAAGTGTTTGAAGTTAATGGAAAGTTTCGAAACTTACATTACAAATACATTATTTAGCAGTAGCTAAATATGTCAAATACATCGTCAGACCTCCTTCAGACTAAACAAAATAAGCTGAATATCAAATTTCATATTGTAAATAGTTGAATATTTTTCAAAAAGCAAGTGGAATCAAGATTTTTAAAAACATGAACATGCTTACCAAGTGATAATAAGTAGTTATAACATCCCCGTTTTATCAGTTCATCTGGAAGCATTTATCGCCGTATCTTGAGATCCTTAAACCATATATATTTTAATGGTTATCTATCTGTCTTAAACAAGCAAGGTAGTATTACCAGCATGCCGAAAGCTGGAAAGTATAAGCGTTTATTTTAAATTGGAGACCAATTTCCCTTCTTAATTCGCACATCATGTGGGGCGTTGGGGGTAACCTAGTAGTTAAAGCGTTCGCTCGTCACACCGAAGACGCGGGTTCGATTCCCAACATGGGTACTATGTGTGAAGCCCATTTCTGGTGCCCCTCGCCGTGATATTGCTGGAATATTGCTAAATGCGGCGTAAAACCATACTCACTCACTCGCATATCGTGCAAGATATTTTCCTCCGTTGTTGATGAAAGAATTATATCTGTTCTACCTAGATATATTAGTACTGATGTTTTATAGCTATATTGGTGACAAAACAAGACTTGCGTACCGTTTAATGAATTACACAGGATCTAATGATATTGCTGGAAGTATTTTTAATACATTGCGAGATGCTTTTGGTTTTGTTGCATGGTCTTTTATTAAGACATCTTTACCTGTCAAGGAAAGGACATTCATTCAGACTCCTGTGTTCTGTGTAAAAGTTTCAAATCGTGTTTTGTTCAGTAAATGAAACGCGAATGACGAAATATTTCGTTATTGGTATAACGACCTTGGAAGGACGCATATCGAACTTCAGTTTGCCATGCAGTTGGCGTTGTCCCTGGTGCGTGTTTATTTTATACATTTTCGCAACATTGTCGACATATACTTGTGTTATCTCAATACATGCTTTCCCCTCAGTAATAAAATCGTGTTTGGCGTGAGTTACGTCTTCACAAACTGCATGATGAGAAGTGCATGCTGTGAACACATCATAACGAGCACATAACGGGGCTAAATAAAGATAACGTTCAAATTAGCTTGCTTCGCTTGCAAATAAAGCATGTCTTTGTAGACGTCACGCCGTTCTACTGCTTGTGCCAGTTGCGGTACAAGTGATGCGTCACAAATTAGATGAGACAAACAATTAGTTATAACGTGAGATATTAAATCGGTGAGACATACCGCTAAACGCCAGTATTAGGCAAGGCGTCAGAGTGAGTTTAGGTGTTTCCCCGTTTGTAGTAATATTCCAGGAGTATCACGTCCGACGACATCAGAAATGGGCTTTGCACATTGTATACATGGGAATCGAACCCACTTTAGTTACAGGGCTACCCCACCGTATCAGAAATAGAAAGCGCCATAGTGTTAGTGCAACATAGCGTCAGATATAGAGAGTGTCATGGTGTCAGTACACCATAACGTCAGACAAAGACGAGAGTCATAATGACTCAGATATAGAGAGAGTCATAGTGTCAGAACAACATAACGTCAGGCAAGGACGAGAGTCATAATGACTCAGATATAGAGAGAGTCATAGTGTCAGAACAACATAACGTCAGACAAAGACGAGAGTCATAATGACTCAGGCATAGAGTCATAGTGTCAGTACAACATAACATCAGAAAAAGACGAGAGTCATAATGACTAAGATATAGAGAGAGCCATAGTGTCAGTACAACATAACGTCAGACAAAGACGAGAGTCATAATGACTCAGGCATAGAGTCACAGTGTCAGTACAACATAACATCAGACAAAGACGAGAGTCATAATGACTCAGGAATAGAGTCATAGTGTCAGTACAACATAACATCAGACAAAGACGAGAGTCATAATGACTCAGATATACAGAGAGTCATCGTGTCAGTACAACATAACATCAGACAAAGACGAGAGTCATAATGACTCAGATATACAGAGAGTCGCGGTGTAAGTACAACATAACGTCAGACAAAGACGAGAGTCATAATGACTCAGATATACAGAGAGTGATTATGACTCAGATATACAGAGATTCATAGTGTCAGCACAACATAACGTCGGACAAAGACGAGAGTCATAATGACTCAGATATAGAGAGAGTCATAATGACTCGTATAGAGAGAGTTATGGTGTCAGCACAACATAACATGAAAGACGAGAGTCATAGTGTCAGCACAACATAACATCAAAGACGAGAGTCATAGTATCAGTACAACATAACGCTTATGTCTAAGGTCC